TTCAATTCGTCTTATTAACTGCATTGTTGCTTTCTAGGAAAGAGGATGGGCTGAAAAGTTCATAGGCTGACAATGAATGAGTGATGCTCGACCTGTGAAATCTTGCGTGCATTAATTTCAATTCGTCTTATAAACTGCATTGTTGTTTCTAGGAAAGATGGTGGACTGAAAAGTTCACAGGCTGACAATGAACGAGTGATGCTAGACCTGTGAAATCTTGCGTGCATTAATTTCAATTCATCATATTAATAAGTGAATTGCTTCTTTCTAGGTAAGAGGGTGAGCTGAAAAGTTCATAGGCTGACAATTAAGGAGTGATGCTACACCTGTGAAATCTTGCATGCATTAATTTCAATTCGTCTTATTAATAACTGAATTGCTTCTTTCTAGGAAAGAGTTTGAACTGAAAAGTTCATAGGCTGACAATTAAGGAGTGATGCTAGACCTGTGAAATCTTGCATGCATTAATTTCAATTCTTCTTATTAATAACTGCATTGATTTCTTTCCAGTAAGAGGGTGGGCTGAAAAAGTTCATAGGCTGACAATTAAGGAGTGATGCTAGACCTGTGAAATCTTGCATGCATTAATTTCAATTCGTCTTATTAATAACTGCATTGCTTCTTTCTAGGAAAGAGGGTGGGCTGAAAAGTTCATAGGCTGACAATGAACGAGTCATGCTAGACCTGTGAAATCTTGCATGCATCAATTCGTCTTATTAACTGCATTGCTTTTTTCTAGGAAAGAGTTTGAACTGAAAAGTTCCTAGGCTAAAAATGAAGGAGTGATGCTAGACCTGAGAAATCTTGCATGCATTAATTTCAATTCGTCTTATTAACTGCATTGTTGCTTTCTAGGAAAGAGGGTGAGCTGAAAAGTTCATAGGCTGACAATGAAGGAGTGATGCTAGACCTGTGAAATCTTGCGTGCATTAATTTCAATTCGTCTTATTAACTGCATTGTTGCTTTCGAGGAAAGAGTGTGGGCTGAAATGTTCATAGGCTGACAATTAAGGAGTTATGCTAGACCTGTGAAATCTTGCATGCATTAATTTCAATTCGTCTTATTAATAACTGCATTGCTTCTTTCTAGGAAAGAGTTTGAACTGAAAAGTTCATAGGCTGACAAGGAACGAGTGATGCTAGACCTGTGAAATCTTGCATGCATTAATTTCAATTCGTCTTATTAATAACTGCATTGCTTATTTCTAGGAAAGTGGGTGGGCTGAAAGGTTCATAGGCTGACCAGGATCGAGACATTCTAGAGCTATAATCTCCTTCATAGTCAGCCTATGTTCTTTTCAATCCTAGCGTTGTTTCTTTCATGGAAAGAAACAATGCAGTTATTCATGAAGGAATGATTTAATTAATGCATGAAATTACGCATCATCAACTTTAGAATCATCCTTCATGGTCAGCCTGTGAACTCTTCAACCCACCCTTGTACGTGGAAAGAAAGAATGCAATTATTAATAAGAAGAGTTGAAATGAATGCAGGCAACATTTCATGGTTCTAGCATCACTCCTTAATATCAACCTTTTCTGCTCACGTCGTATGTTGATAAGGGTCATAATTATATTTTAGATATGTTGGAAGGTGTCATTTGAAACTGACACGTTATTCTGTGTTTTGAAAATTTCTACAACTTCCAACATATTTCCCTGGAATATTAATTTACAAAGTAAGTTTTTGTTTAAACAATTGTTAGTTTTTAGTTGCAGAAAAATTAAAATTTAGTTTTGAATTTACGCCATGAACATATACCTGTGTCAACATTACCATGAATGATAATTCACTGGAGGAAGTGTCCAGTTTAAATACTTGAGCAATCTAAGTCCCTAAGACGCAAGTGGTTAATTGCTATGAAAGCACATGAAAAAATTCTGTTCGCATCTGTCTACCTGTCTTTTTATTTGTCTATCTACCTATCAAGCTCAGTCTGTTTATCTATCTATCTATCTATCTATCTATCTATCTATCTATCTATCTATCTATTATATTCCGTGCTAACAGGAATATATACTTGAAAAACACGATGGATAAATAAGTACAGGTTTATTGTAAAAAAAAACAGTACAATAAGAAAAAAGGTAACAGTTATGCACAAGGTCGTCGCAAGTCAATCCAGTAGTAAGTGTTACTACTGGAAGGTCGGTAGTTCTCGTGTAAATCTGAATCATATTCAACAGATCCCAGCTAGTCGGTAAACTTCCATTTAAAGATAGATTACACAAGGCCAGTTTAACGTGGGATTTCCGAGCCCGTAGGCTCGGCCAAAAAATCCATAGAACCTGTATAATTGAGGAGGAAGGTTGATCAACCTCCCCGAACGAGACTCTGCCCTTCGGCGGAGCCTCGTCAAGGTTCCTCCCTGCTCAGAGGCAGAGAGTTGGACTGTCAAGTCGAGACGCTCGGCTTGATTCGGTATCTAACAACCCCTTTGGGTTGCATGAGGACTAATGGTCGAGTTTAACGTGGGTTTCCCGAACCCCATCATTTTCAAAAAAAATGCCAAGAATTCCCAATAAATGGGATCAGGTTGGTCAACCTTTTGAACGAGACTCTGCACTTCGGCGGAGCCTCGTCTTAGGTTCGACAATTCTAGCTGGAAAAAGATCCCTTCTTTAAAGTATATTTAGATACCCCTCAATAACATAGGGCTTTATGGGGCACAATGCGGGTTTAATGTTGGTTCTCCGAGCACGTGTTAGGAGCCAAAAATAATCCCTCTTTGAACCGCATAAATGGGTTCAAAAGATACCTCCCGAACGAGACTCTGAATGAAATCTGGAACAGGTTCGCAGCTAGTATATTTTGATACGAAGGTGCATGTGGCACAAGGATGGTTTAACGTGTGTCCTCCGAGCTCATAGGCTTGGATAAAAATATTTCCTTTCGAACCCGTATAAACGGGTTCAGGGTCAATCTACCTGAAGGAGAAACGAGACTCTGCCCTCCGGTCTTTCTCTCGTTCAAGGTTCCTCTCTGCTCAGAGGAAAGTTCGACTGTTTAGCTGGAACAGGTCGCAATATATATCACTGTAGTCCGTTGACTTACAGATACTTATACCTTAAATTACTAGCTCATAGTGTAGTCACTCATGGGGTGACAGCAAAATTTCATTACATCATTATCTATTTAAGTCTGTTTTTAACTATTTATCTATCTATCAGAATGATTGTCAAAAAAATTCATTTATATATCTATCGATCCCATTCTTTTCATATCTTTCTTTCTTTCTATCTATCTGTCTATGTGAATCTGTTTCTATTTACCTGAATCACTTCATATTTGTTTGCCTGACTATTTATCTATATATCTACCTATCAGACTCAGTCTGTCCATTATCTATCTATCTATCTATCTATCTATCTATCTATCTATCTATCTATCTATCTATCTTTTTTTATATAATAAATTTTGGTCACTCTCTACATCATCTATCTACCTCAATCTGTTCACTGTCTATTTACATATCTATCTCATTCTGCTCGCTATCTATCTATCTATCTATCTATCTATTTATCTATCTATCTATCTATCTATCTATCTATCTATCTCAGTTGGTTCATAAGTATCTATCTATCTATCTATCTAATCTATCTTTATCTGATCCTGTTTCAATCTGTTCCATTCTAATAAACCTATAAAAATATAAACGTCATTTTGGAAACCCTACTGTACTAATAACAGGATAATTTAGAATTTTAAAATAAGTTTTTACAATTGCAAAAAACACATTTTTCTAAATATTCCCCCAATTTAAGGCTCAAGAATCACTCCAGTTAGAGGTTTATGGAAGTTCGGGAGAGGAGAAAATGAAAAATTAGTATTATATATTACGAGGAATAGCTAACGTATGATCGTAGGTATGAAAAGTTCAAGATAGTAATTAATGAAAATCAAATTTCAAAAGTCAGTTTAAAGGAATTAACAGTTTTTTGACAAGAAGCTCTCTACGAAGGGAATCAGGATTGCTCGAATCTGCTTAAACGAGCTGTGAAAATCTGAACTGGCGAGACTCAGGATTGCAATTTTGTACCATGTTAGAATAACGAAAGGCAAGCAATCTTTCCTCTGTGAGAAAGAGGTTTTAGGGTAGGAAAATGTCTGTCACCCAAAAGGCCGCGTAATCTTTATTTATATTGGTGAACTTTTCTTGAGTTTTCTATTGATAAAATATTTTGATCGACCTATTCACCAACCTTATGCAGAGACAATGTCCTTTTTTTTTTCTATATAAACTGATTTTTCTCCATAAGAAAATCGCAGAATACATCAACTCAAGTGTTATAGGGTCAAAAAATATAAGAACATAAGGAATAATGAGTTGTTCGGTTCGATTGGAATGCTGATGAAAATTACGACTCATTCAATAGAGTACAAGACAAATTTTGGCAATTTTCATATATATATATATATATATACACATATTTGCTTATATCTAGTTATTCAGATTAAGCTGTTATATATATATATGTATATATTATATATATATATATTTATATATATATATATATATATATATATTAATTTTCTTATATCTATTATTCAGATTTAACTACCTATATATATAGTATTTTCTATACACACATATATATATATATATATATATATATATATATATATATATATATATAAGGTTGCCTATATCTAGTTATAAGAAATATTACCTGTATATATATATATATATATATATATATATATATATAAACATCTTGTGTCCGTGTGTGTGTTTTGATACACCTATTTCAGGTAAAAATCGATCCGGAAATACATATGTACAATATGAATCAAAACAAAAACACTTACAGAACAATATATATATATATATATATATTTTGTGAAATGTGAATATAAACACACACTGGTTAAAATTTCAGGTATGTATAATTAGATCTATTCATAAATGGTTCCAAAAAAAAAAAGTACAGAAGGATAATAAAGACACCAGACAATCACCAAAATAGATAAATGAATGAATAAATAGATGAATGAATAGTTATATAAAAAATAAAAAGGAATCGAATATATAGATAGATGAAGATATAAAAATAGATAGATAGATAGATGAATGAATGATGAATGAATGATGAATAATCATATAAAAGGATAGATAGATTAATAGATAGAAAGATAGATAAATAAGATCAATAGATAGATGAATGAAGATAGATAGATAGATAGATAGATAGATTGAAGAAGATAAATAGACATAGACAGACAGACAGATGATATTCTTATCCTCAGATGGGATAGATAGATAGATAGATAGATAGATAGATAGATAGATAGATTGAATTAATAAAAAGATTGAAATAAAAAGATAGACAGATAGATACACAGACTGGGATAGATAGATAGATGAATGAACAATGATGATAGATAGATGAATAGATAGATAGATAGATAGATAGATGGATGAATAGATACTGAAATAATAGATAGATAGATAGATAGATGAATAGATAGATAGATAGAATGAATAGATAGATATTAAAATTGGAATGCTGGATGGACTGGTAGTTACATCTTAATAATCCGAGACATATTACCCGTTTGAATACTTTTTTTGGGGGAGGGGTTATATGGAAATAATAAAAAATACCTCATTAGTTTCTCTTGTGAATGAATTGGTTTTCTTCGAGAATCATTTGAGCTCCTGCAAAAAAACTCAAAAAAGGAAAAAATCCCTAGATTGCATTGCCAGAAGCCCGTCCAGCTGAAGTCGTAAAGAAAGAAAGGTCTGTTTGTGTCAAAGCATATTAAATTTGACAAGTGGTTGAAATCAGAAATTTAGATTTGCCAGTCGCAACCCAAAGATGATTTGACGTACACAAAACAATGGCCTCATCAAGTCTGAGAAATAAACGTTCAGATAAATAATGAATGAGTCGGTGAATGAAGGAGTGAATGAATGAATGAAGTCAGTTGAATTATGTTAATTTGCTTGAGAAATTTAAAATGGACGAATAAAATAAAAATTTTTATAAATAAATTTAAGATTTCGAAATTTCGAAAGAATTTTCATGCAAAGAAAAATTGAAAAACCAGATGTCACTGAAATAACGACAGGAATGAGAAAGAAAAAAAAGAGAAAGAAAGAAAATAGAGAGAAATAGAGAAAGAAGAATTTCTGAAAAATAAAAAATAAATGAAAAGAAGAGGAAAGAAACGAAAAAAATAGGAATAAAAGAGGAAAAAGAAATAGTAAGAAAGAAAAGCAAAAAAAAGGACAAGAAAAAAGGAAAGAAAAGAAAGGAATAGAAAAAAGGAAGGAAATTTAGAAAAAAAAGTACGTGAAAGAAAGAAAATAAAGGAACAAAAAAATTTAAAAAAGAAAAAAAATTAAAATAAAGAAAGAAGTCCTAAAAAAAAAAGAAAAGAAAGAAAAAGAAAGAAATTTAAAAACCAAAAAAAAAAAAGAAAAGAAAGAAAGAAAGAAAGAAAAAAGAAAAGAAAAAAATTTTAAAGAAAGAAAAGGAAAGATTGTCTTTCTTTCTTTTTTCAATTCTGATTTGGAAAGAAAGAAAATATTGTTTGTTATTTTTATAAAAAGAAAAGAAAGAAAGAAAGAAAGAAAGAAAGAAAGAAAGAAAAAAATCAGAAAAAAGGACAATATATTTTTAAAGGGAAGGAAAGGAAAGAACTTTCATCTGAAAGAAAAAAAAGAAAGAGAAAGAAAGAAAGAAAAAAGAAAGAAAAAAAGAAAGAAAGGAAGGAAGGCCATGGAAGGAAAAGTGGATATAAATAAATAAAAAAAAAAAAAAAAAATGAAAGGGAATAAATAAATAAAAGAAAATTTTTTGAAAAAAGGAAAGTATATTATTATATAAATGAGTAAAAAAGCAAAAGAAAATAAAGAAGAAAGAAAATTTTTAAAAAAAGGAAAAAAGAAAGAAAATCAAAGAAAAAAAGAAAATAAAAAAGGACTATATGAAAAAATATAAGAATAAAATATTTTTGAAGAAAAAGAAATTTTCAAAAGAAAGAAATCAAAAAAAAGAAAAGAAAATTTTAAAAGATAAACGAGGTTTGGAAAGAAAGAAAGAAGAAAAGAAAATAAAAGAAAGAAAAAAAAAAAAGAAAGAATGAAAATTTGAAACCAAGTTTTTTAAAAAAAAAAAATAAAAAAAAAAATAAAAAAATCAAAGGACAATAAATTATTATTTTCTTCCCTTAAAAAGAAAGAAAAAAAAAAAAAAAAAAAAAAGGAAGGAATAAAGGAAGGGAAAAAGGAAGGAAAAAAATATATTATTATATAAATTCGGATAAAAAAGAAAGAAAAAAATTTAAATAATTTTTAACAAAAGAAAAAAGAAATAAAGGGAAATAAAAAGAAAAGGACGGTATATTATTATATATAGACGAAAAAAGAATGAAAGAAAAAAGAAAAAAGAAAAGAAAAAAAAAAAGGAAAAAATCAAAAAAGAAAAAAAAATTAAAATAAAATAAAGGACTAATTGAAAAATATAAAAGAATAAAATAAATAAGAAAAAAAA